TCCCCCCCGCACCCCCCCGCCCACTTCTCTCTCTAACACCCCCTCTGGTGTCCTCATCGTCCACCTCCATCCGCTCTTCTCCCCTTTTCTCCTCCTTCCCTTTCCCTCCCCCCTTCTCTTGTCCTTCCCCTGCCAAACCCCTCCTTGTCCCCCACCTTCGTCATAAATGTCCTCCTGCGAAACCGGACTTCCCCAAAAGGTACCACCTGGCGGCTCCAGGTATATACAGCACCTAGTTCTACGACCATTTCAATCTTCTTTACCTGTCCACTTGTTCAGACAGTTCAGCTCTGTCAAAAATTGCAAAATTGCCCTTCGAATCCGTCTCTGCCCTTCATTTTAAGGCCATTCCAATCATCGTTGACGAATTCACAGATTTCCTTCTTCCCTTTTTCTGCACACCGTAATCCTCCCACCGCCACTGCCCCTCTGCCATCAAAGCAATTCTCCCGCCGCCCCTCCACTGCCGCTCAGTTATCAGAGCAATCCTCCCGCCGCCCCTGCCCCTCTGTCATCACCGCAAATCCTCCCAACAATCCGGACAAAGTTTTTCTCAGACTTTTCTGCTATCTATCACCGAACTTTCTGAACGCAGAAAAGCTGTCCAATCTCCCGTCCCCGCCCTTTCCCTGCGTCGGCAATCGTCGCCCCCGGTCCCAGCCTGTTCCTCCCTCGGGCCCCCTGCTGGGACGGCGCGGGCCTGAATCGATTTTTGCTGGGCCCGGGTCCGCCCATTACGGTGGGACTGTCGTTGTCTTAAAGAGTATAGAGATGTCCTTGCATTCATTCCGCCCTTTTCCGTCTGCCTCTGTCTGATCTGTAGGCCGGTGGGACAACAGAAGTCCACCCATCTGCAGTTCCCCCTTGCTAATAACAAGCACGTGGGACAGAAGTCCAACTCGCGTAATCAGCAAGATGGATCACACAAGACAACATAACTCCTGAAACGCGGCGGAGATGATGATCGTTCATCTTTCTAGTCAAAACAGCTCCACCCGTCGCAGTTGTAGGCATTCTCGATTCCATTCCATGCGTGAAGTTGTGTAAAACCCAATTCCAGATCTTCAAGACCCTTGACGATCTGTACAGCCCCTATATAGAACCATTACGGAGGGCTAAATAAGAAACGCCTTGGCAAGTAAGTAGCAAACGAACTGCAGATAATAATACAACGGAACCATTACGCCATAGCACCACCATCGTACTCTTAATGTCTCGATGGGCCAGCGAAACCATTACACTGTCGAAAGCTACTTCACCGTCCCAACTACATGTTGCTGAGTGCGGAATGTGTGATCACCACCTCCCTACCCACCACCTCTCTCTCTCTCTCTCTCTCTCTCTCTCTCTCTCTCTCTCTCTCTCTCTCTCTCTCTCTCTCTCTCTCTCTCTCTCTCTCTCTCTCTCTCTCTCTCTCTCTCTCTCTCTCTCTCTCTCTCTCTCTCTCTGCGGCCCTTGTTTACAGACTTACGTTACATGGCCCTTCTCACCGTCTTGCCACAGATTCATCCTTCCAGCAAGCTGTTCGACGACAAAAAAAAACAATTGCGATAGAAGAGAGCACTCGTTGAGAACCTAGTTCGCACTCTGAAGTTCGATCGCAAAGCTCGACCCGGGACTTCAATTCCCGAACCGGGAGTACATGATGCACGAGCGGTTGAGTGTCCGATACGTCACATCCGCCAATCCATCGCCCTCCTCTACCCACACAATCCTCTGAGACTTACATCACCTTCTGCAACCCTCGTCTACAGACGTACATTACATGGCCCTGCTCATCAGCCTGCAACAAGCTCATCCTCCCAGAACCAGCACAAGCTGATTAGTGTCAAACACATTACAACCGCCTACCTGTCATCCTCATTTCTCTTTCTTTATCCCCATCATCATCTCCGCTCTCTCTCTCTCTCTCTCTCTCTCTCTCTCTCTCTCTCTCTCTCTCTCTCTCTCTCTCTCTCTCTCTGTGCAATCCTCTCGCAAGGTGTACATGAGTGGCCATCGACTCCTCACAAGCTGAGTGCAACATACATCACACTCCCCATCATGCTCCCTACCCTCCCTCCATCCGCCCCCCGCCTCTCTCTCTCTCTCTTTCTCTCTCTCCTCTCTCTCTCTCTCTGTGCAACCTCTGTTTACAGAGTTACATTACTCTTCCAATTGACTCTTCTGCAGATTCATTGGGAAGGTTGTTGAGTGGAGCGAGCCCCTCTCTGTGCCTTTATTGAAAAAATCCCCCCCTACTGGGGCGGAATTTTGAGGGAATTTTGCAGGTCTCACCTTTTCCCACCCAGCAGTGACTGTCTCTGGAGAGGTAATTTGGGTTTTGACGTAGGTGGTAAAGCTGGCTTCTGCTTGTCAGAGAGAAGAGGCTTGGGAGACGTCGGAAATCCATCCAGCGACGCAGCGGCAGCTCGTCCTGGAACCCTTTCCTTTGCACTTCTGGCCAGAAGAGACTGAGCCGCTGCCGTCATCATCGCGCTCCCCCTTGCAGTGTTGTTTTTCACACATCGACTGTTCTCATTTGACGCATATGACCAGCGAGGTTGGCTCGACGGCGAAACCTTCAGTTTGACGGAAGTCTGGGTAGCCGGCGGAAGGCCACTGCTTTGCCTGGGGCTTGTCCGCAGGTTCGATTCTGATGGCGGCGATTCCCTTATCATTTCCGCTCCTGTCACAGATCTCCTTAGCGACTCGACTCCAGTCACAGATCTCCTCAATGACTCAACTCCTGTCACAGATCTCCTCAATGACTCAACTCCTGTCACAGATCTCCTTGATGCTTCAAATCCTCCTGTCACAGACCTCCTCAGTACGTCTGCTCCTGTCCCACACCTCCTTGATGCTTCCACCCCTGTCGTCCCCGACCTCCTTAATGTTTCCACCCCTGTTGTCCCCAACCTCCTTAATGCTTCAACTCCTGTCACAGACCTCGTTAATGCTTCCACGCCTGTCCCCGCAGACCTCCTTGATGTTTCCACGCCTGTCCTTGGTGCTTCAACTCCCGTCACAGATCTCCTCAATGCTTCAACTCCCGTCACAGATCTCCTCAATCCTTCCATCCCTATCACAGATCTCCTTAGTGAATTCATTCCTGTCACAGATGTGCCGGGCTTCGCTGACGAGGCAGCACTCTGCCGACCACTCGTCGTCATCCTTACCTTCTCGTTTTGTCCGTTCAGATCCTTTGTCTCCTTGAGAATTCCACGCTCCGCTGTCGCTCCCGTGGTCGCTGTACTCGGAACAGAGTGATGCTTACTCAGGACGGCGGTCGACCCCTGCGTGCTGACGAGGCGCTGGATTGCTGGGGGTCCCGCCCCTATCGAGCCACGCATAGGATCTTCCGATGAGAGTGCTGGAACCTTAGAGGAGACAAGAGCAGGAGCTTTCAACAAAGATGGCGAAATCTTAGACGCACAAGCTGGCAACGGTTTGGACGATGCTTGCTGAACTCTGGATGCAGTCGGGCAAGCGGCGGATGAAGCCAAAGGTGGGACCTTGGAGGAAGTCGATCGGTCTTTGGAGGACACCGACGGTATCTTGGAGGAGGGAACGGATGGGATTTTGGAGGAAGCTGCTAGCAAGACCTTCGATGAGGGCGGTGGGACTTGAGATGGGGACGGTGAAACGCCCAGTGTGTTTGCCGACGACTCTGCTGCCAACTCGTATCCGACCCTCTGAGCTGGAGATTGCGCTGATGCAGGAACGACCATCTGAAAGAGCTTCGAGCCCTGGTTGTTGGTTCGGTCGTCTGGAGAAGTGCTGCCCTGGTGCGGGTGTTCACTGCTGCCTGGCATTCCACTGGTTTGGTCGTCCGAAGAGGCCGCTAGCCATGTCGACTGCATGAGCCTGCCAGACCTCCACTCGATGCCGGAAGGTGGCAAGCTCACGAAGGACGGCAGAGAGAAGGATGACGTGTCGTGTGCGGACGAGATCGTCCCCGTGTCGTATACGGACGAGATCGTCCCCGTCAGACCATCGAAACTCGTGCCATGCGATGAATTGGCATTCGGTTGCAAGGAGAGAGAGACGCTTGCATCACAGCGTCGTCCACTGCTGGTTCCTGAACCCATGGCTTCTTCTTGACTCGGAATGCTCCTCGAATGGGATAGAGAAAGGAGAGACGAGAGAGAGTTGGAAGAGAACAAATTGGACTGAGAATTTCCATTGTCAGATATCGACCTCGAAAGTAGCCAATCGGTGCTCGGTGAATGCTTGCTCAGGTCCCATGCTGCCGCAGGATAGAAAGGCGCATCCGAGGAGCTTGAGAATAAGGGAAGATGGGATACCGATCGAGACAAGAGTTGCGATCTATCGGCGGCGTAGGAGGACGAAAGGGACATCTCCCTTCTCAAAGCCAGTCGAGGATTCACAGGTTTTTTTGGAAGGAAAGATTTCGGGGATCTCTTAACTGGCTTCGTTGTCTCTTCATCTGAACCGCCCGTCAAATATGCCCCCCCTTCACGAGCCGCCGCCGCCGCCGACAACGACGATCCTTGAGTACAGAATTCTGTGTTGGTGTATTCCATTCATACATACAACATCAACCACAAAGACAAGAGTCATCATCAGTGATTCTCAATCGTCCGAGGATTGCCCTCTGCATGCTCCCATCTCACCCACCCTTCACCGCAATTCCACAGAGAGACAAGAGTCATCAGTACTTCCAAGTCGGCAGAGGATCGCCCTCTACATGCTCCCTTCTGATCGTTCACCACAATTCAATTTACTTGTGTTTACAAACAGAAAAAACTCGCAAAACGATTAGAGGCCACGTTCCCTGCAATTCCATGCAAATATCTCCCAGATTCTTCCTAACAAAGGCATCGAAGCTTCACGACGTGTAGGCAGAGAAGCCGGAAATAAAGAAACGGAGAGTACAGGGCTATAACTAGGTAGTGTGGACAAAAAAAAAAAAA